GGGCTGAGCGTGGCCCTAAGGCCAGCCCACATGTGAAGGGGCAAGACAAACCGTAAAGTGACTGCCAAACGTCAAGTATTTACATAAACAAAGCATTACACACACATTCACTCAGCGCGATGTTTTTAATGCACACTTTGCCCCCTAGTAAAAATAGGTTAGTACGTTGTCGTCATATATGGCTTATAGGCGAGGGATGGCTAAACAGTTTAGCGTGGTATCAGATGATTTCAATACACATTCTTAAGTTCGTATAAATCTCAGGTACTACTATTGATCAAAAAGTCAAATCACAAAAATCAGTATTTTTATGCTAGAAGGACTTGATTAGATGATGACAGTGGGGATAGTACTGCAATTGAAAGTCGAGGTTGGTTTGTGTGCTTAGTTCATTTATATAGTGTTTTGTTCATGTAGCCACTTGGCTGTTACTTTAAGATTCGTCTAACTCTAGTTCGCGCAAGGAGACCTCCGGGCTGAGCTAAGGCCCAGTCTTTCTGTTCACCCTTAGGTCTTCAGACTCCAAAATTATCACGCTAACTTACCATTATTTAAAAATTAAAGCCTAAATTACTGTAAGAAACTAATTATTTTGTTTGCAATGGTTGAAATCTTTGTTGTAAAACAATGTAATATTATTTATATCTTAAGTATATAGACAACATAACATTAAACTAAGAATTTTACAGACAAAGTTTTTATTACAACTAACCAGCACATTGCTAATTAATAGGACGGAATTCGACCCAGTTGTTTGAATCTTTGTTTAGTTGGCCAACCTACTTCAAGTAGGGTTGTTGTGTCGATTCTTTGTGTTTGTAAATTACGCAGCTGGTTCAACGAAGTTTCTACTGTCACTAGTATATTTAACGAATTGTTAGTGGTGCATTTCAATACATTGAGGCAATATGGCAAACTACTTTCCACAGGGAAACATTTCGCCTATGATTCCACATGCACGTTTCAATTTCAATTCACAAAATGCTAGCGTAGTTCATTATGTGTGCAAGTTATTTGTGTTCTAGAATGCGGAACGTCCAGATTTGGCTTCACTTTCTATGTCTCTTGCGAACGCCTATCTGAGTTCACCTTATCAAAGCACCGTTCCTCCACAGCGAATCGGAGGTGTTCGGTACTCACGTCCTTTTGCTCCAAGTCAGTCTTATCAGCAGCCACAAAGTTTTGATATTAGTGGTTGGATGGATAGGAACAAGATAGTAAACCAGCTTCCTGCCGTAAGTTTTTTAGCCGAGTCAGTTCGTTCGTATTCCTTCATCACTAACTTTTGCACGCATGCTTCCTACAGTCTCCCGTGGCTTTGGATCCGAAGCTGGGTGATTCGTTTATCTCTGGCCGATTTGCATCCTCGCGTACCGTAGACGAGCCTAAGTCCCCTTGCGTAAATCAACGGCTACCTCTAGCCAATGAAAGTCTCGGCTTTAATGAAATGCCGGTTTCACGTTCCTCCAAACCGCCAATGCCCTCTTCTTGTGATGTTGGCGGGTCTTATAACCCTATGGTTTCGACTGTTACTCCGTCGTCACAATCGGAGGATTCGTCTCGATGGGTAATGTATCCGCCGGTTCCAGCCTACGGCTCGGAACATTTGAGAACTGGAAGATTTCACCTTATGAGGAACACTTCGCCTGATAGTAGTGCTGTCACATACATGGAGCAGGCGTTGCATCATGTAATACTTTAGCTTACTTACTGTGGTTTGAAATTTTATTCAGGCTGCAGCTTATGTCTTGCAGAAACATGGATTTCTTAAGGGATTAGTGATGCGCCAATTTAATTTGCTCTCTGTGCTTGCACTAATTCATAATGGTTTTTCGTGAACATTTTCTATACGGCTATGAATTGCTTTCGCTTAGCACTAACTTTGATTTTTTTACCTCGACCGCCTTGATGGCAAGTGTTGAACATTCAGAAATGAAATGTTTTTTGAAACTTCGATATTGGGAGACAATTTGATGGGACTTTTCTAAACTTAATTTACCTGAAGCTGGTTTTTACCCTTTACTTTGTTTTAGTCCCTCAAAAGCAAAATACGAATGTGTCTCCCTTCTGCAGCAATAAGTACTAGTAAGCGCTTTCATTGTCCTTTTGCTGATTGCTACCATTACTATTGACATCGAGAATAGGATCTTTGCGTAATGTTTTCCCATGCAATTTTCCTTACGCAATAATAGCAAAAACCTTTTTTCGGACATCATTTTTCACTGGTCTCTTTCAACATTTACGAAACCTCCATTGTTGAATGCGTGATCATTAAACTTCCTGGCCGTAGTGGTTTCACGAACATCTAAAATTTGGCGGTTGCCACGTTAACTTTAGGGTTGTTTCTGGAAAACCCGTTACCGAATATTCGATGCTTTATTGTTTAACCCACCTGCTCTAGATGTGGTAGGTGTGTATGATGTGCTGGCGAGAGCACGATAATCGGGGCGTAAATGTTTGACGCTGGTAGCGAACGCGTTAAGGAACTTCGTACCTCGACATTCGGAATGATTCTTATGATGGTAATTTATTCATTAAAGACGTAATGTTCAACTAAGTTTATTTTTGGTCTTCTGCGTGATGCTTGAAGTGATTTTCCTTGTACACATCCTATACAAGCTCTGAAAATTGTCCCAGATCCTGAGAGGCCATTAAGTTGTAGCTTAGGATTGTGTATTTCATTTCCATAATTTTTGTCTCTCTGTTTTAGCAAGACTTTTTATTTTTTGAAGAATTTCCGCAACAACTAGGCCCCTATACATCCGTTTCACCGATGGAAAACACTCCGCTTCCCTCACGATCACTGGGGCTCTCGACTCAGTGCTTTAGGGCCTGGTGTCCGCGTCTCTGTAGGCACGTAGTCTTGCGTCGGGTCATACTCGAGCCATCAAAGACGATCTCAAGGGACGCGTGTTTCTTAGCCAACGAGTTGTCCGGGGCTAAGGACTCCTCTGTGCTTCAACTGCAAGATGTCGTTCCTGTGCAAGAATTTAGGGACAACTGTGGGCTTATCATCTCATATTTCACGCTGCAATCACCGGCCTTCCTTCCAATCTCATTGCCCATGTTAATTTTTATTCTTTTCAGCTGTACTTTTCGCCTACGAATTCCTTCCCTGTGCTCGCACTCTCGGGGACATCTTTATGGTGGAGCAGGGGAGGTCTTCCGGTGAGCTTTGCCTATAAAATCACTTCGAACACCTGGAATCCATGCGTCTTGAGCACCACTTTGTGTATTCCTGAAGTCATACTGTGATAAATCATCTATTTTAGACCGAGTAATCTACACTGACATGTTGCAAGAACGAACGGCTTGGTTATTGCTAGTGCAACTAACGCAAGCTATACGTTTCGCACACAAAACCTTCCATCGAAGCATCAACGTTCTTGACCCCAGTAAAATCCTCATTCAGGATGGAACAAGGTAATCTTATCCCTTCCACTCAACAAAACTTCTGCTATTGCATTTTCCCACGTAATTCCTGCAGGTTGCTCGTAAATTGCTTTGGTTTGAAAGATGTCGTAAACCACCCGACAGTGGACAGTCAAACAACAGAAAGCAAAGTGCGTTCATTGCATTGACCTGGTATCTTTACGTCTGAAAAGAGGGCTTTTACTGTTTTGAATGTTTTTTTTTTAATTACAGGTAAAGGACTTTATCGCGTTGGGCAAACTCATGCTTGGAGCCATAGTGGGCACGAGTCTAGCTTTTGAGGTACTTCTGTCCCTTCTCTTCGTATTGTTCCAAAATGTGTCGAAGATGTTGGTAGTGGTAACCATATTCCCGAGTTCTCTACTTGCCTTAAATCAAGAGTTCGCTAGAAATGCGAAGGTAGTTGCGCAGTAGGTGTGTGTGCTTCATCTTAAGCCTAGCACCCGAATTAGCTTTGAACCGGGCTTAGTCATAACCAAACAGCAAGACTGCACGACTATTGACGCGGACAGTATGACTAGAGTCTACGAGTTGTAGTTGTTATTTAAAACGAGTATCTTGTATCTGCACTTTCTCTCAGAAGTTTCGATGGCTCTTATTTCTGTGACGACTACAAAAGTGCTAGTTGGATGGCTTGAACCCAAAAGATAAGGAAGCACTACTTTTTTAAGAATTTCTTTGCCACTTTAATGCTCTTTCCCTCTTCACTTCTTAATGTGTCCGTAACGCAAAACTTGAGGCGACCCAACCCGATGCATTTAGAGAGTTTCGACAGGCCTAAATAGCTAAAGCTGATGTTCAAACAACGTGCATAGATACAAACCTCTGAGGCATCAGTAGAAGGTACAATAATCTTCACGGCGGATAGATCTCCGGCCTTTCCTACTCAAGCGATCCCTTTCAGAGGTAATGTTGCGGACATGGCCCCTTACCACCATCGCACAAGCTGAATTGTGGTGGGTTGGAGGATTTTATGAAGCGTCTTTTTCCTCTTTAGAAACCCACGGAGTATGTATCCTTGCTGGATCGTGCCGTTGGCCAAGATCTACGAAATCTTATTCGTGACCTTCTTTCGGGTTCTGTGAACACCGTAGATGCCCTGGTGCTAGCAACAGCTGATCATGTCTACGATAACCTGGATGCAGCTGACACCCTTGCAAGACATTTGGAACGTCATGCCCTAAATGTTGTTCCCTTTACCTCTTGTCCTCCTTTGATATGAGGTTGTTGTACATTCAACCTTTTTTTGCCTCAGGAAGTTTCAAACGGCCGGCTCTTCCGCCTAGTGTGTAAACTGAATTCAGTGATTGAACGACAGGAGTGAGTTGTAAACGCTACGGCTACCTGACTTTCACCATTCATATGAACAATGCTTATTACTAGTAGTCGACGTAATTCTCTTTCTTTGCCT